TCTTTCTTTCTTTCTTTCTTTCTTTCTTTCTTTCTTTCTTTCTTTCTATCTATCTATCTATCTATCTATCTATCTATCTATCTATCTATCTATCTATCTATCTATCGGATTTGATTGCTTATTGTACCCTATGACTATTATTAAATGTTGTACCTTATGATTCTTGAAGTATCTTTTCTTTTATATACACTGAGAGCATTTGCACCAAGACAAATTCCTTGTGTGTCCAATCACACTTGGCCAATAAAGAATTCTAATTCATTCTTTCTTTCTTTCTTTCTTTCTTTCTTTCTTTCTTTCTTTCTTTCTTTCTTTCTTTCTTTCTTTCTTTCTTTCTTCCTTCCTTCCTTCCTTCCTTCCTTCCTTCCTTTCCTTTCCTTTCCTTTCCTTTCCTTTCCTTTCCTGTCTGTCTGTCTGTCTGTCTATCTATCTATCTATCTATCTATCTATCTATCTATCTATCTATCTATCTGTCGGATTTGATTGCTTATTGTACCCTATGACTATTATTAAGTGTTGCACCTTATGATTCTTGACTCTTGACAAATGTGTCTTTTCTTTTTATGTACACCGAGAGCACTTGCACCCAGATAAATTCCCTGTGTGTCCAATCACGCTTGGCCAATAAAGAATTCTATTCTATTCTACAACAATTCATTTAGAGACCATTTGAAGTTATAATGGCACTGAAAAAAGTGACATATGAGCCAGCGGTGGGATTCAAAATTTTTTTTACTATCAGTTCTGTGGGTGTGGCTTGATGGGCGTAACTTGGTGGGCGTGGTAGGGGAAGGATACTGCGAAATCTCCATTCCCACCCCACTCTACTGAGTGTTAAAAGTATAGGTTGTCCTTGACTTATAACAGTTTGTTTACTGACCGTTCAAAGTAACAAAGGCACTGAAAATGACTTACGGCCATTTTTTATAACCATTGTAGCATCTCATGTGATCAAAATTCAGGTTTTATTTTTTTATTTTATTTTAGGAAATTTATATGTCTGCCTATTTGCACCGGATCTAAATAAAAATCAACTTTTCTACTTCCCAGCTCTTTTGTCAGCCGAAATGAGTTGTGCAGAGGTAGCATTCAGCCGGTTCTGGAGAACCGGTAGCGGAAATTTTGAGTAGTTCAGAGAACCGGCCAATCCCACCTCTGACTGGCCCCGCCAACCCCATCTCTTCTCTGCCTCCCATTGAGTCCCAGCTGATCGGCTGGGTCTTCTTTGGTTGCCTTGCACAGGAGAACCGAGGTGGAAAGCAGGTTAGTAGGGTGGGGAGGGAATGAAGATTTTGCAGTAAACCCTGCCACGCCCACCAAGCCACGCCCACCAAGCCACACCACGCCCACCAAGCCACGCCCACAGAACTGGTCATAAAACGTTTTGAATCCCACCATTGGAGTTGTGGCATATTAAGGATTTTGACATGACTAACTAAGAGTTCTCCGTGTTGCCTAAACTCGCTTTGGAAGCCCACCTACCGTCTCCTGGTCAGGCACTCCAGCCGCCAGCAGATACAGGCCTTGAGATTCGTGCCTGTCTTTATCTTTAAAATTCACCTCCACGGCTCTTTTGAGGGCCTTCAGAACGTTTCTGGAGCCCCTGCAGCGCAGGCACAGCACCCATCTAGAAAAACAACCAAGGGTCAGCCATGTGCTCCTGGGATGTTCCACATCTGTTGTGCTGGCACACCAGATGGTTCATGATTGGGGCATCAAGAACCACGGGCGCCACTCGGAGGATGGAGGACAGTGAAAATGGTGGACACCCTAGGTTTAGCTCATTCCTGTTGACTGCAGAAAGTAGAAAGTAGATGTAGCAATAGCACTTAAGACTTATATACCGCTTTACAGTGCTTTACAATCCTCTCTCAGTGGTTTGAAGGGTCAGCCTCTTGCCCCCCAACAATCTGGGCCCTCATTTTACCCACCTCGGAAGGATGGGAGGCTAAATCCAACCTTGAGCCAGTCAGGATTGAACAGCTAGCAGTCGGCAGAATTAGCCTGCAATACTGCATTCTAACACTGTGCACCATGGAAAGAAGGAAAGGGAAGGGAAGGGAAGGGAAGGAAAGGAAAGGAAAGGAAAGGGAAGGGAAGGGAAGGGAAGGGAAGGGAAGGGAAGGAAGGAAGGAAGGAAGGAAGAGAAAAGGAAGAGCAATAGCACTTAGACTTATATACTGCTTCACAGAGCTTTCCAGCCCTCTCTAAGCGGTTTACAGAGTCAGCCTCTTGCCCCCAAAATTGGGGCCCTCATTTTACCCACCTCGGAAGGATGGAAGGCTGAGTCGACCTTGAGCCTGGTGAGAATCGAACTGCCAAATTGCAGTCAGCCGGCAGTCAGCAGAAGTAGCCTGCAGTACAGCACTCTAACCACTGTGCCACCGTGGCTCATAGTCCCGAAGGTGTTTTTTTTTTCAAGAGGCAGCTGGACTTTCTTGTGTTTCTTTCTTTGAGGATGTTTCTCATCTCATCCAAGAAGCTTCTTTAAGAAGCTGAAGAAGCTCCTTGGATGAAAATCGAAACCTCTTCAAAGAAACACAAGAAAGTCCAGTTGTGTGATGAGCTGGAGTGTTATCAGAAATATAACAAAAACCAAAACGTAAATAAAAGTCATTTAATGCCTTCAACTTGGCTTCACTTTTTCATTGTTCACAGTGGAGGAGAAGTAAACTATTTTCAAAATAACATTTCAAAGAAACACAGTTCAAATTCAAAGAGCCAATAACGAAGCAAAAGCCAAAACCAAACCACACTGAATAAAGTTTTACAACAGACCAGGATAGATAATTGCCAACTTCAGGAAGATAACCAGGGACAGTCCGTTGGAAGAACGCCAACCAAGATAAACCTTCTTTAGGAATAAAACACTAACTGGTCTCCAACACTAACTGGTCTCCAATTCCAATACTTTGGAATTCCAATTCATTTGAAGATGCAAGATTTAATATACAAGATTTAATTACCTCCATCTGAGAATTTCCAGCTCGGTTTAGCCATATTCAGTATAGAGATATCACTTAAAATTAGAATTCCTAAATGGTAGATAAATTAGCACGCAGGTCCAAACTCTTATGCGGATCGCACACCTGCCACCCATGGCCCTCTCCTCCCGAGTAGACCACACTTTCTCCTGATCCTCTCCTCCCTGCTTGCCCTAGGATGGAGAGGGGATGGGCCTGGGTCTTCCCCTGACTGCTCAGCCGGCCTCTGCCCTTCCCCAGCCTCCTCCACCACCTCCGGAGCCACATTTCCACTCCCTGTTGGCTGTTCCTCCTCTCCCTCAGAGTCAGTCTCCATGACAAGTTGCCTCTTGAAATAACCCATCTTTGGGGCAGCCATGAGCTTGGATGACTGAGAATCTCCACAGACATACAGGCGCAGTCCTTTACCTCCAAGCACTCTGCAAGTTGTCTGGATGAGGTGGGACCATTTCAGGCTGCCAAGCCATAACATCACTTCCAAAGCTGCAAAAGAGATATAGAATCAACCAACAAGCACGACTTGTTGGAAGAAATAAATTAGTTACCCCAGGTTATGTCCAAGGCAGTCCTTGACTTACGACCGCAACTGAGCCTCAAATTTCTGCTGCCAAGCAAGATAGATGTTCAGTGAGTTTTGCCCCATTGTATGACATTTCTTGTTCACAGTTGTTGAGTGACTTGTTCAATTTGCAGCACGATTGTGAAATGCATTTTGGGCTTCCCCATTGACTGTGCTGGGCAGAAGGGGATCACGAGATCCCGGGACATTGCAACTGTCATAAATACATGCCAGTTGCCAAGCCTCTGGATTTTGATCAGATCGTAAGTGTGTGGGGGAAAACAAAAATCATAAGTCAGCCCTGGAGCATAATTGTAGCTTGGAGTTGAAATGAGGGCTCCTTGGTGCTCTCTGAACTTGGAGGTTTTCTGGCAGGCGTTTCTTTACCCAAACTAGGTAACATCATCAGTGCTAGGAGGGAGTGGGGTGAGGGGGAAGAGAGGGGGGAGGAGGAGGAGGAGGAGGAGAAGGAGAAGAGGAGGAGGAGGGGAGGAGGAAGAGAAGGAGAAGAGGAAGAGGAGGAGGAGAACAAGAAGAGGAGGAGGAAGAGGAGGAGGAAGAAGAAGAAGAGAAGAAAGAGAAGGAAAAAGAGAAGGAGAAGGAGGAAGAAGAGGAGGAGGAGAGGAGCAAGAGGAGAAGAAGAGGAGGAGGAGGAGAGGAAGAGGAGGAGAAGGAGGAGAGGGGGAGGAGAAGGAGAACAAGAAGAGGAGGATGAGGAGGAAGAGGAGAAGGGGAAAGAAGAAGAGGAGGAGGAGGAAGAATCTCTGAAGCTTGGTTGTTTTCTTGCAGACGTTTCATTACCCAAACTAGGTAACATCATCAGTGCTAGTAGCTGATTGATTGATGATGTTACCTAGTTTGGGTTATGAAACATCTGCAGGAAAACAAGCAAACTCAGAAAACACCATGTTATAAGTCACCTTTTCAGGGCCCTTGTAAGTCATGAAACAAATAGTTGTAAGTCAACCATTGCTTTTACACAGTTTTGCAGAAATGAGTAGATCCATCCAAAAGGGTTGGTTTTCCAGGTGAGCAAACTCCAGGGAAAACCGTAACTCGGTCCGTTGTGACTTGTTGCAACCGGAATCTTTAAAAGGACCTAAATCGACACAGAATCTCTTCAGCAGCTACGATTTCGGTTCCTTTGCAGAATATGAAGATGGGGCCCAGAGGAGGTTAGTTATCTCATCCGAGATCTAAGCCAGCATGGCTCAGATTAAATGAGTTTATGACTTGACTTCTTTTTTTCTTTCAAATTATGCAGGGGAGGTTTAAAAACATTGGATATTTTTTTTAAAAAAATAGAAGAGACTGGACAGTCTCTTGTCTGAAATGGTATGTATAGGTTCTCCTGCTTGAGCAAGGGGGCTGGACTAGAAGACCTCCAAGGTCCCTTACAGCTCCTATTCTCTTCTAGGGTTTTTATTTTTTGAAAAACATGATCTGGTTAAAAAAAATGATCAAAGGGAAAGCCACTTACGCCAAGATGTTGAACAGATCTTTGCTTGCCATTTGCTCTTCCAGCAAAAGGCGTAACGAATGTTGGATATGGAAGATGTAAGAGGAATTCGTTTTGGAGATGTCAACCAGGACAACCACCCTAAAATGAAAAACCAAAAGGACTGGATTAAACCACCGCGTTAATTTTCCTTTCTTTTCCCCTTCTTCTCCGCTTTAAGCAGCCTCGTGAGAAGAGGAAACCCTGGTTGATGGTTTATTGTAGCGGTTCATAAGCACTTTTTTTCTTCATTAGACAAAACCAGAAAGTCCTTCTTTAAATATCACCGTTTCAACGGAGTGATGGCTTTGTGTGTCGTTGCCCAAAGAAAAATCACTTTGACTCAATTGTATGTAATTTATCCAGATTTGGGGAGCATTGGTTGTGTTGGACTCAGGTAACTACAAATAGCCCCTTGACTTACAGCCACAACTGGGATTGGAATTTTGGTCATAAGTTTATGGTCATAAATCAAGCCCCCACTTAACTGGACTCAATGTATGACCATTTTACCATGGTCATAAAACAATTCATGTCATCGTTAAGTTCTTTATCTCTATTTAACCATTGGGTATGCTTCCTTCATTTCTACTCCCATAATGTTTATCCTTTCTCAGAGTTTGTTGGAACTGGACGTGTCATACATTATAATCAATAATAATTATCGTATTTCCCCCAAAATAAATCCTAATGGACACCTAACATCAAAAGCATCATCAAAATAGCACAACAAAGAATGTTCTTTCTGCGCCAACTCAGAAAGCTCAAACTGTCCAAGGAGCTGCTGATCTAGTTCTACAGAGGAATGATGGGGTCTGTCATCTGCACCTCTATAACTGTCTGGTTTGGTTCTGCAACCCAACAGGACAGACACAGACTTCAGAGGATAATTAGGACTGCAGAAAAAACAGTTACTACCAACCTGCCTTCCATGGAGGACCTGCATACTGCAGGAGTCAAAAAGAGGGCTGTGAAAATATTTACAGACCCCTCACATCCTGGACATAAATTGTTTAAACTCCTTCCCTCAAAACGACGCTATAGGGCACTGCACACCAGAACAACTAGACACAAGGACAGTTTTTCCCCGAATGCCATCACTCAGCTAAACAAATCATTCCCACAACATTGTGCAGCTATTTATAAAGTCTACATTACTATTAATCTTCTCATCATTCCTTATCACCCATCTCCTCCCACTTGTGACTGCATGAGTGTAACTTTGTCGCTTGTATCCTTATGATTTATATTCTATTCTGTTCTGTTCTATTCCTGTTCTGTTTTATTACATTCCTATTCTATTCTACTCTACTCTACTCTACTCTACTCTACTCTACTCTACTCTACTCTACTCTACTCTACTCTACTCTACTCTATTCTATTCTATTCCATTCCATTCCATTCCATTCCATTCCATTCCATTCCATTCCATTCTAATGGAAAAATTAATATAAGACCCAGTCTTATTTTAGGGGGGAATCACGCTATTATTTTAGCACATACACGAGGAAGTTTCCCTCCTATTAAACCAGGGTGCAAAGTATTGAAAAGGGATTGATCAAGAGAAGCAGATAGAGGTAGAAATAAAAGACAAGAAGACGTCTGAAATGGATGGAAGAAAGCCCAGTTCTTGGTACCTCTTTTCACAAACTGTCCCCCAAATTCCTCTGCTGGAAAGAGACAGCCAATCAATGCGTCTCTCGTACATCTTCACCATCCGGCCGAGTTGCTTCTGTGAAAAGCCAAGGAGAAAAAAACATCAACTGAGGCTCGTGACGATGCAAACATTTCAGGCAGCAGGTTTTGGAGTTTCTTGTTGAGTCCAATTCCCAAGGAAAGGTTGGAGAAGGTGCTTCAGAATGTCCACACCATCCACGATCGGGAGGTTCTCCAATCTTCTCTATCTACAGTGTCATGGTTGCAACCGTCTTCCCTGCTCTCCTAAAATACAGATAACCCTGGACTTACAACCCCCATTGGACTGTTGCTAAGCAAGGTCTTAAAAGAGTCGCCCCCAAATTGTATGACCTTTTTGCCATAGTCATGAAGCAAATCACTGCAGTCGTTAAGAGAATGATGCAGTTGTTGCATAATCTGACTCTCTCCCCCGATGGGCTTTTGTGTGTCGGAATCTCACAAATGGTTGTTCTGTCCTAGGCCTTCCCAAAAAGCCATTCTGAGTCCTGGCAAAAACCTCTTTTATTACATTAATATGAATTTATTTCATTCACAGTCAGCCAACAGCTTGGCAAACAGTCTTGCGAAGGTATACTAATTAGCTCAGACCTTTTATCAATCTTGGAACGCTGCCTGGTAAATAGTTCCACGCTCAGTGCTGACAGGGAAGGCCTGAGTTATATAGACAAATCTTCACGAGGCTGCAATGAACGAACGAATGAGCAAGTTGTTTCCTGCAAAAGCCCCCTCCTCTTTTGCTTCTCTTTTAATCCTGATGGGAGGGGGTCATTCATCATCCACCTATGGCCTTATGCCCATGTCGACGCTGAGTTCTTAGTTGTTCCTTCCTTTTGGTAGCTCTACACATGCACAGGCTGGGAACCGGTTTCAGAAGCTCCCTCACCTCACTGCTGTCCGAGCCCGAAGGCAGCTGATGACTGCCAGCCTGCCCTGGCTCCATCTCTGCCTCTGATACAGAGCCCTCGTCCGACGCTTCCTCAGCCCTCCAGGAATGGCCTGGGTTCCTCCCCAATCTTTTCACTACTGTCCAACTCTGTTGCCAGCGCCACAAGCCACTGGAGGGCCACAACAATGGTGACCATATGGTGTGTCATAAATACGCGCCAAAGGCACGGATTTTGATCATGTCATCGTGGGGATACCGCAATTATTGTAAGCGTGAGGACTGGTGGTAAATAGCTTTTTTCAGGGCTGTTGTAACTTCGAAGGACACACACACAAAAATAGTTGTAAGTCAAAGGCTACCTGTATAGACATGGGATTGTGTTATGTTGCAGTTCAACGCTTAATTGGTTGTTTAGCTCCAAGACTAACCATGGTTAGAACAGATGATATGCAATTTATTCACCTGGTAATCGTATAATATCGGAGGATCGACGTGAACGTTTTTCACGGTCCCATCGTGCCATTCAAACTGCATCATGGCTTTCTGCAAAGAAGAGGACAGCACAACATCCCAAATCAGATTACAGGCAGTAGGACCACAATGGAGTCCAGCTGTTGCTAAGTGAAACACTGAAGTGAGTTTTGCTTCTTTTTATGAGTTTTCTTGCCACGGGTGGTAAGTGAATCACTGAAATGATTAAGTTAGTAACATGGCTGTCAAATTTCCCCCTTAACTTTGCTTTTCAGAAGGTCACAAAAAGGGGAATCACTTGACCACAGGACATTGCAACCTTCATGAATATGAATCCGTTGCCAAGCATCCGAATTTCATTCAGATGGGATGTTGCAACAGTCGTAAGTGTGTCCCCTTTTTTCAATCCTGTAGTAACTTTGAACAAGTCATTAAATGAACTGTTGCAAGCTGAGAACTATCTTTGTATTGTAGACTTTGGGGAGAGAGATTACCATTAGCTGGATTCATGGGTCATACTCAGTTGTTCTGGATGAGAAATTTGAGATCAAACCTGCCAACATTTACTGGATGGTATCTTCTTTTTTATTTTTATTTTTATTTATTTATTTATTTAAAATTTATTCGTTTTTAAAAACAAACATAAACAAACAAAACATAAAAACATCAAGCTATCTTCCATATGTGTACATAATGTAAGAAAAGAGGAGTGGTTTTATATATTAAAGAGACCACCCCAGCAAAATTGATTTATACCGATGATGATGGAAGAATACTAATGGTGGAAATAATGGACAATAATACGAAAACACTCCTGATTGCAATTTATGCTCCGAATGACAAACAAGAAGAATTCTACAAAAAATTACATATGAAAATAATTGAACTGGACTATGCTAATATAGTTATGATGGGAGATTTTAATGGAATTGTAGACAATAAATTGGACTATACAGCACAGAAAACAATAAAGCAAAACAGAAAGACTCTCCCTAAATCTTTTTTTAAAATGGTAGATGAAATAAACTTAAAAGATACATGGAGAGAAAGAAATGCTAAAACTAAACAATACGCCTTCTATTCAAATAGACACTTATCATGGTCCAGAATAGATATGATATGGATGTCAACAGAATTAATAACTAATATTCAAGAAATAAATATTGAAACAAGTACTCGGGCAGATCACAATCCAATGACAATTAAATGGAAAGGACAAAAAAGAAGATCTAGATGGACGTTAAATAATACTATTTTAAAGGAAAAAGACTTCACACATGGAGAAAGAATTGGCTTTTTTCTTTAGAGAAAACAAAAAGGAAGATACATCAATTCAGAATGTATGGGATACAATGAAGGCATATGTTAGAGGCTTGATAATAGACTATACAAGGAAAAGGAATACTATGAAAAGACTAGCCTCTAAGGCCAAACCATTTGTAAACCAACCGGCACACTGTATGTACACATATGGATGGTATCTTCTTGAGTTCCACTTCCCTGCTGACTCATCCCCAGGAACGAGCGATTCCCACAATCCCTTGACAAGCAAACCAAATCAGCTCCCCTTTAAACTTACCCCGTGGAGCGTGGACGAGACCGTTTTTCGAAGGAGCGGCACAAATTCTTCCACAGGCGAGAAGGCGTTGGGTGCTAAGACTTGGTAAAGGCTGAGTTTCTTGGCTGCACGAAGGCGAAGAAGAACCCTGAGTCCAGGAACTGGTCTGAACTGGTACCGTTTCATAGGAGGAAACTTGGGGTTCTGCCTTACCTCGCAATCCATTAGTTTTCAACCACTCCGCGGAGGATTTGGCCAAGAAGTTGGGGGTCTGGATTGCAAGGAGGCGTTCATGCTGGAAGGGTTTGGACAGTTGTACTAGAGATGTCGACTGTCTACGTCCCATTGAACTCTAAGCAGAGAAAGAGTCAACATGTCCTCTGTTAAAAAAACAGCGTGTTCTTGTTCCTGTTGAATACTCAACAATGCAAAATTTTACATAGAGGGCTGCCACCAAGGTGATTTTTAAAATCATTTCTAAATATTTACTTCTGTTGCTCCTTTACTGCAAGTTTCATGTAATGGCGTGTAGGAATAGCCTTGGGAGACAGAAGAAAAGAGCTGCAGACTAGGCAACGATTGGATAAGAGGCGGTTAAACCCACAGCCGTGAAATTACAAGTTTTCCTAGCCCCGGGCTAGAGGCACACAAATGAAGCCTCTGATCTAAAAGAAATTGGGGACTTACATTCGTCACTAAATTGAAAAGCGAGTCACCCATCTTGCCCTCGTAGATCTCGTTCACGATCTTGAGCAAGCGGTCTGCTTTCTGCTGCTCAGAAAGAACCAGGTGAATATCCGTGCTGGTACAACTCTGATTAGACGATGCCAAGTGGAGAGAGAGAGGGAGGGAGGGAGGGAGAAAAGGAGAGAGAGAAAGAGAGGGAGGGAGGGAGAGAAAGAGAGAGGGGGAGGGAGAGAAAGAGGAGAGAGGGAGAGAGAGAAAGAGGGGGAAAGAGAGAAAGAGGGAGAGGGAGGGAGAGGGAGGGAAAGAGAAGGAGGGAGAGGGGGGAGGGGGAGAGAAAGAGAGAGAGAGGGAGAGAAAGAGAGAGGGAGAGAGAGGGAGGGGGAGAGAAAGAGAGAAAGAGAGAGAAAGAGAGAAAGAGAGAAAGAGAGAAAGAAAGAGAGAAAGAGAGAGAGGGAGAGAGGGAGGGGGAGAGAAAGAGAGAGGGAGAGGGAAGGAGAGAAGGAGGAGGAAAGAGGGAGATAAAGAGAGAGAGAAGGAAAGAGGGAGAGAGAGAAAGAGAGGGCATGAGAGAGGGAGATAGAGAGGGAGGGAGAGAAAGAGAGAGGGGGAGGGGGAGAGAGGGAGGGAGGGAAGGAGGGAGAGGTTATTGTCTTTTCTTCTGAGCATCTTTTTTTTAAAAAAAATTCACGGTTCAAACGTATTTGGAAAACTTGAGAGGCCACAAGCAGTTCTAGGGGCCTTAAAGTAACGGGCCTTAAGTTGAAAAGCCTACCTCCATTTTTCCCGAGTAGCAATGGTAACGGCCTCTCACCTCTTCCGCCAAGCTTTGGAGAATGGCCTAGAAATGGATGAAATGAACGGAAGTCAGCGGCTGTTCCCTCGGAACAATAATTCTAATTTTATAAAGCGCCTCACCCCGGAGAGAGCGATTGAAGTGAACGTTGCCCTGTTTTACGACCTTCCTTGCCACACTTGTTAAGTGAATCGCAGCCGTCGCTAAGTTAGTATAATACGGGGGCAGGATTAAGTGAATCTGGACTTGGCTTGTGAGAAGGGCTGAGCACAAAGCTGTCGGGGAGCTTCTGAGCTATCTGGGCTTCCCTTCCCACAACCCCAGAGACTCACGGGAGGTGCCTCACTGCCGCAGTCGTAGGCCACAGTGTGAACCAGCAACCGTCTTCCCGCCGAGCACTGTTGGATGTAATCCGACAGAATTTCTGAACCCTGGTCTGGACTGTTTTGGAAAGACAAGAAAGGAGAAAAAGGATGGGTTGGGAGAGAAGGACGAGAGAAGGACGAGAATCCCAGGGGTGGGATCCTGCCGGTTCTGTGTTTGCTGCTGTTTGGCCCACCTGCCCACCCCCCGGGCTCTTACCTGTCCTTTATTTCCTGCTTTTTCAACCTCAGCTGCTTTGCGTGCAACCGCTGAAAAAGCAGGAAAAAAAGAGGCTTTTGCAAACAATGTGCACCCACATGCTGCACTTTTCAGCTGTCCGGGTGACACAGCGTAAGGTTTTTTTTACACATGCGCACAAAATGTAGTCACTGGTAGTAACACCGATTGAATGCCACCACTGGCTATAACGCACAGGAAAGAGAAAACGGTCATAAAACTAGAGAATGCAGGCAGTCCTTGGCTTACGACCACAACTGAGTCCAAAATTTCTATTGCTAAGTATGTTTAAATAAGTCTTGCCGAATTTTAGACCATTCTTGCCACAGTGGCTCAGTGAATCCCTGCCGTTGTTAAGTAAGTCACATGGTCATTAAGTAAATCTGGCTTTCCCCATGGACTTTACTTGTCACAAGGTCACCAAAGGTTGCCGGGACACTGAAACCGTCGCAAATATGAACCAGTGGCCAAGCAACTGAATTTGGATCACGTGGCCATGAGAATGCCACAGCAGTCATTCAAAATAAATGACTTGCGACCATTTTTCACACTTACGACCGTTGCAGCATCCCTCCACAGTCACATGATCAAAATTCGGACGCCTGGCAACTGACTCGCATTTATGATTGGCCGCAGCATCCCGGAATCATGAGATCCCCGTTTGAGACCTCCTGACAAGCCAAGTTCACTTAACCATCCTGTAGGAACGGTTAAATTGAATACTTTATTTAAAAGAGGAAAATATGTTTTTATTTGGATATCACTTCTGGAATTCGTGCTTGTGAAGAGGGGAAAAAAAGGTGAAACGTTGATTTTGGTTTTGTTGATTAGAAAGATATGGTGTTATAGAAATGGCGAGTGATGTGAAAGCAAAACGTGGAGGTTGATGTTTGTCTTGTACTGTGCTACCCTGTTTCCCTGAAAATAAGACCCAACTGGAAAATAAGCCCTAGCATGATTTTTCAGGATGCTCATAATATAAGCCCTACCCCCAAAATAAACCCCAGTTAAGATTGTCAGATAGACAGATGCATTTAGAGACATATTTTCCCAAAAATAAAATCTAACGTGTCTTATATAACGTATAAGACGTAATGCGTCTTTTGGAGCAAAAATTAATATAAGGCCCGGTCTTATTTTCAGGGAAACACAGTAGGAAGAGTTAGAAGCCAATGCTCCTTTTCTTCCTTTTTTTTCTTCCCCCTTGTATTTCACACACCCCTTTCCTCATTCCCTTTCATTCCCTTAATTTCCTACTTTCTTTTCTTTGTGTTTGTATTTTATACAATAAAAAATTAAAAATGGAAAAAAGAACAATCCTGTCACTAGCTTAACAATCGCAGTGATTAGTTGAACAGCTGTAGCAAGAAAGGTTGTCAAAGGAGGCAAAATCCATGTAACAACTCTCTCGCACAGCAGCAGAAATTTGAGATCAATTGTGGTCGAAGACTATCTGTACATTTAAGCCAACATTTGCCTTTCAACAGGGGAACCTACCAGGTTCCTACTATGATCGCCAGCGAATCCAGATCTCTCATCTCCAGGACTTTCTTCAAAGCTTTTAGCAAATTACAGCCTCTGGTGGGTTTCAGCTCCTGGACCCACTGCCTGGCTTCATTTAATCTAGGGAATTATAAGACGAAGAAAAGTAAATTTTACTGCTCACCAATTTAGACACAAGCCTGGAGTTCTACGGAGTAATTAAACTGCATGAGTTTAATGATAATAATGTCAGGACTATCCACAAAGCACATCTCAAACGACCAATTCCAAACAATTAAAACACTGAAAGTCAACCAGTAATGTGGTTAGTGAATTCAAAAATAAACCAGTAAATGGCAACTTTGACATGTTAAAATTAGGCAATAAAATTGTAGCAGAATGATGACAACAGAAATTCATTTCTACTAAAAGTGACCCCTGCAAGCATGCACCGGTATCAATAACAATACAACCAACAGGGAATTTCAAAAACGAAAAACAGAGGACCTACAATCCCAGGAAGAGGAACAATGATCTAAAAATTTCAGAGGCAAATAGCATTCTTTCCACACGTCAACCTTAGTGAAGCGTGCAAACCAGCGTCTGCATTTCCTGCGTCGGATGAGGACAGCAAACCTTCCTCCTGCTGTCCTGGCCGCTTTTTACAAAGCCACAATGGAGAGAGTTTTAACAAATTGCCTCCCTGTTTGGTTTGGTGGTGGCAGTACCTCAGATAGAAAGTCCCTACAGAGAGTGGTGAGGACAGCAGAGAAGATTATTGGAAACTCGCTTCCCATTATTGAGGATGCTGCTTATAAGCATTATGTGCTTAGAGCCAGGGGTGGGATTCAAATTTTTTAACAACTGGTTCCGTGGGTGTGGCTAAGTTGGTAGGCGTGGCTTGGTGGTCATGTGACCGGGTCGACGTGGCTTGGTGGTCATGTTATTGGCTGGGCATGGCCAACTCAATATCACTCACATTGAGGCATGCATCTCCTCGCCTGGCCTCTCGTGACTCTGGGGATGCTGCAACAGTCGTAAGTGTGAAAAATGGTCATAAGTCACTTTTTTCAGTGCCATTGTAACTTTGAATGGTCACTCCACACAAGCAAAGTACCAGCAAAGGAGGGGAAGAAAACTCCAGAGACATTCCTGAGGCAGGAAGTCTAGTCCTGGCAAGAATGTAATAAGGGTTAACGGAGAGGCAGCTTCTGTAAGCAACACCAGAATGTTTCCTTCCTGCCTTCCTTACAGGATTAGCCCAGTAATTTCTTCTAACAACCGGTTCTCCAAACTGCTTAGAATGTTAGCAACCGGTTCTAGCGAATAGGTGCGAACTGGTAGAATCCCACCTCTGCTTAGAATTCAAAGCATTCTCAGGGACCCCACACACCCACGCTACGGTCTGTTTCTGTTGCTCGCCTCTGGGAGAAGGTTTTGAAGTATTTCTAGCAGGACTACCAGATTCTGGAATAGCTTTGTTCCCTATGCCATCCCTCTGGTAAACTTGCAAGGTTCTTTTCTGTTGAGATGTACATGTATTCATCTGGACTAGATTGTGTTGCTTCTCTGTGTCATCGAATATAGATGGGTATATGCATAATTTTGTATTCGTGCATTTATTTTGTCGTTTTATAGTGTATTTATTATTTTGTAGGGTATATTGGAGGTGGTGACCATTTGAGAGCTGTATGCAATGAAATTTCATTTCAAGGTATGCTGATTAGTGTACATTCAAAGTGACAATAAAGCTGTCATGTCCTGTCATAGAGTCTGAATCTGAGGAGGAAGATGAACAGCTGACAGGGAGTGGGAGTGTGGCTCTGTTGGTTGTGGAAGAAACTGGAGAAGGGCAAAGGCCGGCTGGGCAGAGCAGGGAAGAGGTAGAACAAGGGAGAGGTAGAACAAGGGAGAAGGAATTCAGAGGAAGACCCAGGCCCTCCCCCTCTTCATCCTAGGGCACACAGGGAGGAACGGAGAAGAGAGCAACGTGGGTTGCATGGCTTAAGGGGGAGGAAAGGGCCCTGATTCCCTTCACTAGCCACAGCTGGGAAGAAAGTTTAAGAGACATGCAGGCTGTATGAGACAGCTACTGGGAGCAAACTTGAATTTACCTTGTTTAGTTATCTGTGTTCCTGGCGTCTTTCCAACCGTGTTGAGTTTTGCCGTGCCTTCACGTCTGGAATTCTTGCTCCTGCCCTGCCAAACTAATTACCCCATCTTGCCCTTGATTGGACTTACAGTTACAGTTTTTTGTTGAGCATGTTTTGGACTTGATTCTCTGCACCCAAAGGCTGTTCCTGGGAGAGCTTTTCTCCAGCCCAGAAGGTAACCAGGACATTGCGGGCAAAGTTGGAGCTAATAAAGGGACTTCTATTGATTATCTGACTGTGTTGCCTTTGTGCCACGCCCCTTTGGGTCATCACAAAAGCATTTCTAGGTGCTAAGCCTTACCGATCCCCGTTGACTGCGCGCGGTTCATCCCACAGAGTTGAGATCTCAGCTCCAAACGAAATAAAGTAGAGCTTTTTCATGTATTTCAGTTGTTCGTTAATTAATGCCTGGGAGGAAAATAATCAGAGTTCAGGTTGATCTGAGCTGATCTTATAACATATGCATTATACCCTGTAATATTGGGTGGACCAGCAGTCTATGAGGGGGTGGCTTCCCTTTTCTCCAGCCAGAAGGTAACCAGGGCATTGGGGGCAAAGTTGGAACTAATAAAGGGACTCTTATTGATTAACTGATCCAATGAAGCCATGACATCATGACCTGAGCTTTGTTAAATACAGGTAATCCTTGACTTACAACAGTTCATTTGGTGACCATTTGAAGTTGCCACGGGACTGAAAAAAGTGACCTCATGACCAGTTTTTACACTAACGACCGTTGCAGAATCCCCATGGTCACATGATTGTCAACTCATAAAACATTTCTATGCTTGTTTTGGAGTTGCCATGAACAGAAGGAGGGGGTGGGGGAGAAATTTGAAAGAGCAATGCAGCAGTTTGGAACCGAAAGTGCATTCCATTCATAGCTTACAAAGATTATAACTAAGCTACCGTAATTTCTTCCCCGCAAATCTCTAATTGAAGAATGTGATTGATGACTCTTGGCTATGAACGTGTTTCATTGGAGATTATGGATTATGATACCCCCAGAGGAGTGGGGAGAAACCAAGGTCAAGGGTGACAGTGAATTATGTGTCTCAGAATCGGCTTCATACAGGTCCTGCCGACATGTTCGCTCCTAATAAATCCTTTGAAGTTTTTTGAAGCTTGTCTCGAGGCTCATGATTTAATTAGGGCAATTACTGGAATCCTGACAATGATCAGAATTCGGATACTTGGCAACTGGTTCATATTTATGACAGTTGCATTGTCCCCAGGGGCATGTGATTCCATTTTGCGACCTTCTAGCAAGCCAAGTCCTTGGGGAAGCGAGATTCATTTAACAACCATGTGACTAATTTAATAAGTGCAGGGATTCACTTAACAAATGTGGCAAGAAAAGTCGTAAAACGGTGTAAAAAAGATCACCGAACAGCTGTCGTGCGTAGCAATGGCTCGACTGTTGTCGCAAGTCCAGGACTGCCTGTAATACTTACCAAGAGATCCAGTTGGAATCCCTGCAGTCCTGATCCATAATCTACACTGGATGTTTCGATCAGAACTCCAAGTTTGTTTCCTTGAATGACACCAAACATCTGGAGTGGGAGGAGAAGGGAAAAAATGGAAAGAAATGGAAAGACTTTAGAACAGAGGTGTCAAACTCGATGTCAGCATTCTAGCGAGCCTCTACTCCAACCAATAACTCCGAGACAGACATCTTCTCAAAAGTTTATTTGGATAGTAACTGGCACATCTGGGCGAATCCTGAATCTGAAAGTTGCAGGCTTCCTTGCAATAAGTAAAAACTACAATCCATCCACTGTGCCCATCATCGCGTCACATGTCCCAATCACCATCCGTCCCAACTTGAGACTTCCCCTCACTTATGCGCAAACTAACATGACCTTGAATTAGAAAAAGAATGTTATTATGTCTAACTACATACACTCTGAGAAATTCCCCCCTCCCACTTTCCCAGGCTCAACATGTGGCAGCGTGGGAGCATCTGGTCTCAATATGGCTTCCAAAGCTGACACTCGGTTTCATTGAGGGTCGCATCAGGGTTGTGTTTGACCTCGGGGGAAAGGGCAGGGGGGCGTGGTCGGGATGGGCATTGCCAGCTCGACGTCACTCCTGCCCGGGGGGGCTGTGGTGGGCTGAACGCTCTGCCAGCGAAAATGGGTTCCCAAGCTCCGTTTTCAGCTGCAACGGCCTCCTGCAATCCTCGGCCAGCAAAAATGGAGCTCGGGGTGGGGAGGCCGCACACTGTCCTCACAAGCCCTATTTTCGGCTGGGATGGTCTCCTGCAATCCTCTGACAGTGAAAAAGGAGCTCAGGAAGGCCGTGCATAGCACTCATGAGCTTTCAGAGGTGGGTATTCAGCAGGTTCTCACCAGTCCTGGAGAACCGGTAGCGGAAATTTTGAGTAGTTCGGAGACCTGGCAAATCCCACCTCTGACTGGCCCCGCCAACCCCATCTCTTCTCTGCCTCCCATCGAGTCCCAGCTGATCGGCTGGGTCTTCTTTGGTTGCCCTGCACAGGAGAACGGAGCTGGAAAGCAGGTTAGTGGGGTGGGGAGGGAAGGGGGATTTTGCAATATCCTTCCATGCCCACCAAGCCACACCGCACCTACCAAGCCAAGCTATGCCCACCAAGCCATGCTCATAGAACTGGTAGCAAAAAAAAATTTGAATCCCACCACTGACGAGCTTCCAGTTTTTGCTGGCAGAAGTAAGACGGGTTGCTCCTTTGCTATTTCCAGGGCAACCCTGCCGTCCAGATCTAAGTATCCTGCAGGCCGGATCTGGGCCCGGGCCTTGAATTTGATGCACCTGATTTAGAACAACATGTATGTATGTATATATGTGTTGTGGCTCCGAATCCCGAGTCTGCATTCTTAGAGGAAGAGGATTCGGAAGATGAGGAGGAGGTGGAATTGGGAATGCCTTCCTCCCCAGGACCTTCCTCTTTGGCAATGCCTTCCTCCCTGATTATGCCTCAGGTTTTGGCAGATAACTGAGAGGCACAGCCTGAGGCTAATCAGAAGGAGGAGGAGGAGGGCACATCGGAGCAGCTTGTGACGGAGAATGCTGGCTTGATGCCAGGCAACGTCGCAGGAGGAAGTGTGAGAGGCAGCGCAGGAGACATGGACGAATCAGGGACTGAGTTGAGTTAGTGACACACCCCACAAGGGATAAAAGTGGGTGTGTTTGCTCTAGGAACTTCGCACGGGACAAAGTGTGGATTTTTCTGTGGAGATTCGTAGTATCCTGTTTCTGGAAAGCTCTAGTGATTTATGATCCTGTTATCTCGTCGGACTTGGCAGGCAGCGTGTGGGCTACTGCCCAAAACATAGCCAGCTCAAGGAAATTAACTCAGTAAATACTGAATTTTCTTGCCTGCTTGTGTTTTGTTGAAGTTCGGACTTCTCATCTATCTTGTGAAGGTGAGACATAAGATATATGTATTTTTTCTTTCATTCATTCATTCATTTCATATGGAATTAGAATCTTTATGATACTGCACAGTGAGTCACCCCAGGAATTTCGTTGCTAGAGACCTTTTAGAATGCTCTACATTACACACCAACAAATCTCTGTGGCAGCCAGAAGAAAATCCATAAAAATACAGATTGTTTTACACTATGTTCTAAAAGGAAGATAGAAACTCCAATGATTGTATTCTCTTCTATTACAGATATAGTTTAGTCTCAGCCAATATACCTAAAACATTATGTTTGCTTCTGGTTTAGGGTGTGGCATGAAGTTCAGTCTTCCCATTCATATCCGCCCAGATTTGCTATTAAGAGACATAACGGTAACTGTCCTTAGACTTATATACCGCTTCCCAGTGCTTTATAGCCCTCTCTCAGCAGTTTACAGAGTCAATCTCTTGCCCCCAACAATCTGGGTCCTCATTTTACCCACCCTCGGAAGGAGGGAACGCTGAGTCAACCTTGAGCCGGTCGGGATAGAACTGCTGGCGGTCAGCAGAATTAGCCTGCAATACTGCATTCTGACCACTGTACCACCACGGCTCATAATGAAATTACTATACAATTTCTCTAATACTAGAATTATTGTTGAACCATTTTTTTTTAAAAAAATGTTACCTTCTTGGAACCACGGAGAAGCCAACGCATCCTCTTGTCGTAGAGATCGATAGCCCTGAAGATAAAAACATAAGCCATCCACAGATATAAACAATGCATTGTGTATACAGTCACCTTGTGGTTTAGATGAGTGGCAAATAAACTGAACAAATAAATACAATATGCTAACGCTAGCTGACTTATTTCGTACGGCCCCTTCCTTGAATCGGTTTGACAAATAATTTAGTCTTTAGGTGAGGAAATATAAAATAAATGGCTTAGAGGTGACTCTACGTATTCTTTTTTTTTTTTTAAGGAGTCTGACATTGGGGTACTCACATTTGCAATTGAGATTCGAAACTGTTGATCTCCTCTTGAGTAAACTCCACCGTATTGTTCGCATCCCTAAAGGAAAACATCCCACGGTGAGCCAAGAGGAGGCGCTGTCATGCCGTCAGAGCCTGAATCGCGGCGGAGGATGAATTGGAGTTGGGGCTGACGAAGGTTGAGGGGGTGGCCTCGTCAGCTTCGAAGGAATGCAGGGAGGAGCGGGATAAGTCAACCCCGGGCCCCTCGGGCTTGGGATCAGTGGTGGGATTCAAAAACTTTTACCGCCGGTTCGTTGGGCGTGGCTTTGTGCACATGCATACACTTTGTGTGTATGCGCATGCCAAACATGCACTTTGCACAGACGCAGAGGCGTTCCAACCCACCTCTTGCAAGCCTGCACGATCCCGGTAGCTTCAGCAGCTGCTGTGCGGCACTCTTCTGTGCCGCGCAAAGCAGTTGCGCTTCAAAAGTAGAAGATAAAAGTGAGTATGGGAGCCCAGGTGGGGCCAATAGCAGAGCAGTGGAGAGAACTGGTTCGGCCTCCGCTGCTCATCGCTGCTACCGGCTCGACGGAACGGGGCCAAACTGGTAGAATACCACCACTGTTTGGGAGGAACAGGGGCAGGACGACCGAGAGAGGGCAAGCAGTGGAAATGAGGAGCGACAGAGCTCAGGCAATAAGCAAGAATCCCCTGCTCCTGATCTCAGAGCAAGGAGAGTGGAGAGAAGCCAGGAACAGTACAGGCCAACCCGACAACTCAGGAGGAGAGCGCCCCGCTTCTCTTCACAAGGCACGCCTGGGAACTGAGACTTAAGGAGACGCTGTGGGGAGGGGCATTTGTCGGGAACAAACGCTGAATTCGTGGAGTTTTGTGTGCTGTTGCCGATGTCTGGAGTTTGCAGGAGTGCTTGCTTTGTGGACTCATTGCCTTGTTCCTTGCCTTGCTGGATTTCTTGCTTTGAAGCCATTGCCGCTAACATTTTTTTCTGGACTGCTCGCAGCTAGAGGCTGCTCTGTGTGTGTGTATGAGAGAGAGAGAGACAGAGACAGTGCTTTGCTCCCGGACTTGCCATAAACGTGGGAGTGTTTGGGGGACAGTTGGAGTAATAAAGGGGAGGTTGAACTATCAGCTGACTGCGTTGCCTCCGTGCTTTGCCCCGGGTCATCGCGGGTGCAAGTAACTACACATGAACAGGACTCACACTTACGTGGTAGTACTGCCTTTCTTCATCAAATCCTCAAGGGAGAGTTGGAAGTTTGCCAAGCTGTAGACCTGAATCCAATCGTCGGTGGCCTTTAAATTAGCAAACATCACCTCCGTGTTCTTCAGCCGCTGCGGGCAAAACAGGAGCAGGCATCAAGGCAAAAAATAAGCCCACGCGATTTGCTTTTGTGGTCCCCGGGGCAGAGTAGGAGAGCATGCGCTTTCGATGGTGGGATTACAGGCAGTCCTCCAATTATGACTGCAATGGAGCCCAAAAGTTTTGTTACTAAGTGATTCACTTAATAAATAGCAATAGCTCTTAAACTTATATACCGCTTCACAGTGCTTTACAGTCCTCTCTAAGCAGTTTACAGAGTCAGCCTCTTTGTCCCCAACGATCTGGGTCATTTTACCGGATTGAGAAAGATGGAAGGCTGAGTCAGTCTTGAGCCGGTCAGGATCGAACTCCAGACTGTGCGTAGAGTCAACCTGTAATACCATAGTCTAACCACTGCGTACTGTGGAAGGATGGATGGATGGAAGGGAGGGAAGGAGGGAGGGAAAAAGGAAGAGCAGTAGCACTTAGTCTTAAATACCACTTCACAGTGCTTTTACAGCCCTAAGTGGTTTACAGAGTCAGCCTCTTGCCCCCAACAATCTGGCTCCTTATTTTACACACCTTGGAAGGATGAAAACCTGAATCGAGCCAGGATCGAACTCCTAGCAGTGGGCAGAGTTTGCCTGCAATACTGCATTCTAATCAGAAGAAAGGAAGGGAGGGAGGGAGGGAAATGACAATAGAAGTAGTGCTTAGACTTATATACCGCTTCCCAGGGCTTTCCAGCCCTCTCTAAGCAATTTACAGAGTCAGCCTCTATGCCCTCAACAATTTTGGTCCTCATTTTACCCACCTGAGAAGGATGGAAGGCTGAGTCAACCTTGAGCCTGGTGAGAATCGAACTGCCAAATTGCAGGCAGTTGGCAGTCAGCAGAAGTAGCCTGCAGCACTGCACTCTAACCACAGCTCTTCAAATGTGGCAAGAAAGGTCGTGTCGAATGGAGCAAAACTCTCTTAACAATGGTCTCGCTTAGCCACAGAAATTTTGGGCTCCACAGCGGCCTTTACGTCATGGGCTACCTGTAGAGTTTGATAGCGCAGGTGGTGCTTCTAACTGGTTTCTCGTTTCACTGATATACCGTAGTTATGGCCTCCATCATTAACAGGAATATCCCCTTACCATTAAATCCTGCGTTTGGTTAACATTGGTGACTAGCAACCCTTTGTCATCCACGGGATCGGTGATGAGGACATTCTGCCACGATTTTTGCTTTTGGGGCGACCTGGCCTTTGAGACTGGGTTTGCGCTGTGAAAAAATAACCATCTTGGTCATCTTGCACTATAAGTGGTGGAGAGAGAGAGAGAAAACTGGTTGGCCCTGCACTCAGCTTACCTTGCTATCCAGGCTTTTTCCATCACGGGGAGTCCTTGACTTAGGACCGTCCTGGAGGCTTACAACCAGCGGTGGGATTCGAATCATTTAACCACCGGTTCTCTGCCCTCATGGATTTCTTCCAACAACCAGTTCACCAAACTGCTCAGAAAGTTAACAACCGGGTTCTCCAAAACTGGCGTGAACCGGCCGAATCCCATCACTGCTTATGATCGTAACTGTAATTGAGGCTGCTGCGATTTTGGTCACCGACAGACATTAAGTGGGTCATCACACAACCTGCCTGATTGTACAACTCCCTCCTCCCTCTGACAGGCTGACAAGCTGCAAAGGTTGAGCTAGTCCAGGGGTGTCAAACTCAATTTGATTGAGGGGCTGCATCAGTTGTTTGACCTTTGGGGGGGCTGGGGTCAGGGGGGCCGGGGGGCCGGGGGGGGCATGGAGAGCTGGATGTCACTTTTGTTGGAGGCACTTGTGGTGGCCAAGTAGTAGGGCAGAACTTCCCTCAGACCTTCCCTCCCTCTCATTATAATCTTCCTTCCTTCCTTCGTTCTTTGAATATATATAACTAGATGTCAACCTTTTCTCCTTTCCTAGGTTCTTCAATATTCTAGATTCCTTCCTTCCTTCTTCCTTCATTCTTTGAATACGTATAACTAGATGTCAACCTTCTTTTCTCCCTTCCTAGGTTCTTCAATATAGCTAGATTCCTTCCTTCTTTCACTCCCTCCTCCCTTTTCTTGTTCCTTCCCTCTTCCTTCCCCTCTTTCCTTGTCTTTCCTTCCTTGCTCTCTTCCTATCTTCCTTTCTTGTTCTTTCCCTTTCCTCTTTCCCTTTCTCCTTTCCTGTCCCTTCTTGCATGCTCAAATGCAAAAGGGGAAGAAGCGTTTCTCCTTTTGGTTTGTTTTGCTAGTTTTCTGCCAGAGAAACGGAGCTCCGTTTTCATTGGGGAGGGATGCAGGCGGCCATCGTGGCCGAAAACGGGTTGGGGGGGCCCACGCGTGGCCCTCCCGAGCTCCATTTTTGCTGGCAGAGGCCCTGGGAGTGGGTCCTTGGCTGTTTGCAGGACAGGCCCAGGGGGCCAGATCTGAGTTTGACACCTCTGCTCTACAGGGCGCTCCATCTGTTTATTTAGTCTAATCGAACAGATGGACAGAAATTTGATCGGGACAAACACGTTCCATAAAACCAATTTTGCTACTTTCCCCAAAAGCTTGGCAACTTTAAGAAGTTATGGACTGCCATTCCTATGATGCTCCTGACTCTGAGTTGCGGTGTTGTTGTTTTTTAGTTGCTAGGACTCTGCAGAAAGTTTTGCAGGAACCATCACCTCTGGGGAAAGGCTGCACGGATGCTTGTAGACACACATAATTCTCCTCCTCTAAGACAGTTGAAAGTCAGTAAGTCACCTTCCCCCACTTTTTTCACAGCCCTTCCCAACTCCAAGCTGGCTTCTTCCCACCAATCGTCCCAAGCTGAGGTTCTCCAAGGTGTGGGACTCACCAGGCACCTGCCATGCTCTTGCACCGCTCTTCCGTGGGCAGCTGATGCTCTCCGGGCCTTTGGGTCTAATCTCTGGCTGGCCCTGTGTTTTCTATCACCAATAGCAACGGAAGCAACCATTCTTATACAGGAGGGAGGGAAGGGAAGGAAGAAGGGACGAGAGAAAGGAGGGAGGGAGGGAGGAAAGGAAGGAGAGAGGTGGAAGAGGGGAAGGAGAAAGGGAGGGAAAGGGAAGGAAGGAGGGAAAGGGAAGGAAAGGAAGGAGAAAGAGGCGTGGAAGAGGGGAAGGAGGGAAGGGAAGGAAGGAGAAAGAGAAGTGGAAAAGGAAAGGAGAAAGGGAGGGAGGGAAGGAGAAAGAGAGGTGGAAGAGGGGAAGGAGAAAGGGAATGGGGGAAGGGGAAGGGAAGGAAGGAAAAAGAGCGAGGGAAGAGGGAAGGAGAAAGGGAGGGAGGGAAGGAGAGAGATGGAAGAGGGAAGGAGGGAAGGGAAGGAAAGGAAGGATAAGGAGAGGTGGAAGAGGGGAAAGAGAAAGGGAAGGAGGGACATCTATCAATCATCTAGCTATCTAGCTGAGAACCATGTCTTCCCCCTCCGTCTAATCTATCTATTATCTATCTATCTATCTATCTATCTATCTATCTATCTATCTATCTATCTATCATCTATCCATCTATCCATCCATCCAGGGGAAGGAAGAGGGAAGCTTTGAGTTCTGTTTTTGACGTTTTCATTGTGTTTATTAGAAACCGGAAATTCACTTTAAAAAAACAACCACCGCCCACCAGACACTTATATAATTGGACGTTTCACGCGCTGCTGCTCAATTTTGTCAGAAAGCTCTTAGCTTGTGCATTTTAAGTCTTTTCACTCTCCAAAAACACTTCAGCCCTGAGGATGTGTTTGCCAGAAAACAACTATGAGCGTTTAAAAAAAAAAAAAAAAAGATTTGGGAAACAAAAGAAAACAAAGCAACAAAGCCGGGTGGATTTCTTTCAGTAGAGAATTTATTTTGATAAACTTGCTCAATAACAAAAATACAAGTGAGGAAAATCATGTCCGCTTTATACAGTCTGTATTAACAATTTGTTGGGAAGTTAACCGCAAAAAAAGAAAGAAAAAGAAAACAAACAAAAGTATGCACCCCACCACCCCAAAACCGATTAGAAAACGATTATTTTGGGAGTTGCAGGATGGGAAGCAGTGGAAGGCGGGAAGGGGAAGGGACCACTGCAAAGCCCAAGTCCTTTAAAATCTCACAGGGAAGCAAATCTCACGGAATATAATTCCCTCCAGGTTTTGTGTCCTTCGCAAAGGTTTCATACTTCTACAACAGCACACCCAACAACAGCTGACAGGTGGGGAAAAGTTGACTTTCTCCAAAATGCCCCAGAAAGTGAAATTTGCAAGAAAATGCCGAGAGGAGACTTAACTGCTGTAAATTTACATCGGATGCACGTTAACGTGGCTAAACTTGTCAAATAAGGCAAAAACGTGGCTTTCCTAAATCTTGGAACTACAGCTCCCGTCACCCGGTCCAGCCGCCAAACTTAGTTAAGGGTGATGGCAGCTTCATATCAATTCTCTAGAAAAAGCCACCTAGGAGAAGCTTGGCTTGAATTCACTCCCAAAAGGGGATATTCAATAACGGAGAGCAAATTCTGGTTTTTTAAAAAAATTTATTTCCAGGCGTAGAACTATAATTCTCAGCGCCCTTCACTGACTGGAGTTAATTGGGAGATGTTACTTCAGCCACTTCTGGATAGATACCAGTCTTTTTACACAAACACACAGCCCCAAAATGTCTTGAATGCCGTTAGGATTAGAGACTGCAAGAAAAACCCAGGTTTGTTTGCAGACTAATCCAACTTGAGACACTTCGATGGGCGACTAAAAAAAAAAATGCTTTTTAAAAAAAAACTTGTAAGAAAAGCCTTGGCTGCATAGATAAGAAGCCTGTCAAAAATGAACATCTGATTGCACCATAGCTGGGAAGTTTTTTTTAAAAAAAAATAAAATAAACATTTGATTCCCCCTCCAAAGACATTAGATCAGGGATCCCCAAACTTGGCAACTTTTAAGACTTGTGGACTTCAACTCCCAGAATTCTGGAAGTTGAAGTCCACAAGTCTTAAAGTTGCCAAGTTTGGAGATCTCTGCATTAGATAGATGTTGACGCATCAATGAAACAGCAGCTAACTCTTCCCCAAGGTTAATAATAAACCGCCTTTATCAAATCGATCTGGCAGTTTTCAAAGGCCTGATACTAATCTTTCCCTCAATCTCTGTTCATATGAATTGCTTTGGACAAGATAGTTAATGCAAAGAGAGCCGAAGGGAGGGTGCAGACATTTAAAATCCAAGTAAGACCTGTGGTTTAAAAAAACAAAACAGAAACGTAACACACATACCCCAGGGTTTAAGAGGAACGAGGCATAATTCATAACACACTTGACTCCAAAGTTTTTTACAGGCTGCCTTCTCGAACCTGGTGCTCTGCACAAGCTGGATTGGGGAAGGCTGCGAGCAGTGAAAAAGAAATGCACACGTACGTACGCACACATACACACACAGACATACACACACACACACAGAGGGATCAGATGTCCCCCCCCCCCCCCCCCCCCCAAACCCCCCATGCAACAGACAGAAAACTGACAGACATTTGCACCGTTTTTTTTTTAAAAAAAACTGCTTTATATACAGTTTTACAAGATATGGCCTTTCTGCTATAAATTAATACTGCACACTTTTGCGATTCTATTTAAAGCAAGAGTTGATTTTTCCCGCCCCCCCTCCCCTTAAATTCCCTGCCCTGCCCTCATTTTTTTATTTTAGAAAAAATAATTGTGGTATTTTATTTTATTTTTCCCCCTCCCCTTCTGAGAAATGGTTCGGTGTCCCCATTAAAGCCCAAAAGTTTCGGCCCTCTGCTTGATGCAGCTCTGACTGAGACGTCCATTCGCATAACAAGATGATGACCCGGGATCGGAGCGAGCGAGCGTGGATTCCTTACAGTGACAGCCATGGTGGGTGCTGTGAGATTTCCAGCCAATATGCTTCTCCAGTTTTATAGGCAGTGATGTGAAAAAGTCACCATTTTTTAAAAAAAACAAATTTTTTTTAGGGCGTAAAAGAAGTCATTTTGCTGTGGCGAAAACTTCACCGTTCTCGGTGACTGTAGTAATAATGTGTATTTTGTCAAACTCGACAAGGTGGGCTTTCTTGGGGCCACAGGAGGAACCTCACGTGAATTTGCACCAAGACAAATTTCTTGTGTGTCCAATCACACTTGGCCAATAAAGAATTCTACCAATCTCTCTATTTGGGGACAGTGTGTGTCCATCTACTCTGGCCACCTAATCTGCAGAGGATACAACCCCACCAATGTTTTTGCTGGGGGGTTTTTTTTGCGGACGGTGTCCTAATGTTAGCTCAAGGATGTTTGTCAAAGATGGCTAAGACGCTTCCCTGGCTAAAATTTTCTACAAGGCCTGCTTGTAGGGGATGTAAGTTAGCTGGTTCTTCCCTTTTCTTAGGCATTTCCAGAAGGAAACTAAAAGCCGGGTTGAAAAAAAAAGAAATGGGTTGCTTGCTTTCTTGTAGCCCATCCTGATTGGAAATGGTTTCAGGAGTTGGGTTTTTGCATGACGGCTCTTCGTCTTAAGAGAAATGGGGCCAGAGAGTTGGGTGATGCCTAAGGGAACGATGCAGGGAGAGACCTTCTCTTCTTCACAAATTATCTAGGTCAGGGGTCTCCAAAGTTGGCCACTTTTAAGGCTTCCGGACTTCAACCCCCAGAAATTCCTCAGCCAGCTATGCTTGCAACTTTAACTTGGGCCACTTGGTGAACTTCAAAGTCCCAGAAATTCCCCAGCCAGCATGGGAATTCGGGGAGTTGAAGCCCGCAAGTCTTAAAATGGCCCCGTTTGTGCCCTGCCAGAGAGATGGGAAGAAACTAGTAAAAAAAAAAGAGAGAGAAAGAGAACTAGAATCCACCTCTGGTAAGAGGTGCATGGAGGTGAGAATTCAGCACCGGATGCGGAAGAGCAGGAAACAGAGCAAGTTGTGCATTGAAGGGAGAGGAAAAGGATGAGGCTCTAGTCTGGCGGTCTTCCTAAATTTTGAACGGGCAACCTGCCACAGATGTGCAACCCTGAGGTTGTAGAACATCTGTGCAATGAACCCCAGTAACATCATGCCAGGGCTTGGAAGCACACGAGCTTCTGTCTTTAAAACCGCAGCTCGATAGGCAGAAGGCGGCGGTTGGGCAGATGCTTTTAACATCAAGAGCTCAAGGGAAAAGGGGCCACGGCCCAGCCATGCCATGGGAGTCACCTACAACGGGTGTGGGACATTGTGGAGAACGTCTTGCAACAGCAGACTCCATCATTAGCAGCCTTTGAAGTCGGCTTCCAAGGGAAGGGGTGGAACCGCTGACAAGTGGCGGTGCGATTTCAGTGCGGGGCGGGGAACACGTGAAAATGACAGCACAAACTCTAAAAGCAGCATGAAGACCTTATTTCCATCCAACAAAACCAAGCAAAGACTCACATGTGCACACAAAACTAGAAAAGAGGGCGAGAGAGGAAAAAGTCCAGCCTTGTCCAACTGTGCCACCTGTTTTTTTTTTTTGTGCTGTGTCTTGACCACTGTGGCTCTTATTCTCCCCCAAAGATTAGCCCTAGCTCTTGACCTGCAAAAGGTAACCTGCTCCTGTTTGCAGCCATTATTTTATCTTAGGAGTTACATTTTTGTTTGTTAAAAAAAAACGGTCCAGCATTTACAGAACCTGGTGTTCTGTCCGCAGATACATGCCTTCAGGACTCACTGCTTAACACCTGGCAAACCTTAAGATGCTTGACCTTAAACCAAATGAGGACATGATTTCACAAAACCATTAATATATATATATCCACAAACTCAGTTAATGAAAAACTTGCTTGCTTGGAAGGGATTCCTTTTAGTGTTTCCTGTGGCTACCCACAAGAGAGGATCCTCAGCGTAGCAGCCAGGGTGGCAATGCACCAGCACACACCTCCTTTGGCTGCCAGATGTTCTACCCCGTCTTTACCACTTTTCCAACACTGACCTGAGCGAAGCTAAAATGGACGCCAGCAACGGATGGATTCATGGATTCCATGCAAGGCCCGTTGACCCTTTGAAAGAGGAATCGATGGGAGTGGGGCCCTGGCATTTTTGGGGAGTCAAAAGGCCCACCTGCCCTGAAGAAATGGGGATCCCTGCATGACGTTGAGAAGGTGGTAGGAACCCATCCAGTACGATGGCCAAGCCAACCTCAGTAGTCTTTTCCTTCAACCACAATAGGTTTCCTAAAAATAAAAAAAAAACCCTACACTATGGAAGTGAGAATCCTTTGGTCTTCAGGGGTTTGTTGGTTGGTTTGCAACAGGGAATCTTATCTTTCCCACTGTGTGGCAGGGGAAGCCCTCAGCAATTCCTTTGCCTGCAAGCAATGAGGAAGGGTCTCAACTCTTTTGAGCTAAGGTTCCCAGGTGCAGGGTATCAGCTTGGGAAGCCATACTGAGATGCGATGCACCCACGCTGCCACGGAGCCCGAGAAAGTGGGATGGAGGGGGATTCAATTGAGTAGCTCTAAGTAGACAAAATAAAACTTCTTTTGTTAGTTCGAGGTCATGGAGTATGGCGCAGAACGAACTAGGAATCTTACTTTGGGACGGATCGCGATTGGGCCATGTGATGTGATGACGGCCAAGGGGGGGGGGGTGGGGGGATGGGTTTGTAGTTTTAAATATTGCAAGGAAGCCCCCAAACGCTTTCAGATTCCAGGATTCCACAGACGTGCCAGTTACTATCGAAGTAAAACCATCTTTTGAGAGATGTCTGTCTCGGAGTTACTGGCTGGAATGGAGGGCTGCGGGAATGCTGCCACGGGGGTTTCTAAGAAAAGGGCCGTTGCGTCCAGGGGTGGGATTCAAAAATCCCACCCACCCCGGTTCGCTGCCCGGTTGATGGGGGGGCGTGGCCATGGGGGAGGGCGTGGCCTACCGGAACTTACGCGAGGGCCGTTTTTTCACCTTCCTCAGGGTCCGGAGGCTTCCCTTGAGCCTCTGGGAGGGCGAAAACAGCCTTCCCTGGCATCTAGAGGCTCTCCGGAAGCTGGAAACAGGCCCTCCCAGAGCCTCCACACGGACCCCGCGCTTACCTGCATCCAAAATGGGCCACGTGGAGGTTCCTGGGAGGGACGGAGTGGGCGGGGCCAGACAGTTGGTTCAACGAACCAGGTGTAAATTTAACATCCGGTTCGCTCGAACCAGTCCAAGCCGGCTGAATCCCATCCCTGGTTGCATCCAGCACGGCAGATTTATAGTGCTGCTTAGCATGCTTTGGATGATGGGTGTTGCTTCCTTCCTGCTGCTGTGCGCCAAGTTTTGGTTTCAGGGGGCTGAACGGCAGAGTGTCGGACATAAACCGAGGAGTCAGGCCTGCATCTAAATATTAGCGATACTATTTTCTGAGAGTATCTGTCAAGAAAGAGAAAGGTATTACTTGCAAAGGCCTCTGAAAAGAGACAGGCCATATAAAACAACAACACCCTGCCTTATCCAATAATCACCTTGTTCTTTTGTGACATAACAGAAGAAATAATACTTTCAAAGTGTGTGTGTGGATGGGGGGAAGCCTTGGGCTTGCTTTGCTGTAGCTTTTGGGTGCTGTTTGGGGCCTAATGTATCGGAGATGCTTGTGGCAGATTATCTGGACCAAAACCCCACCATGATGTAAGGAACAAGACCTCTACAAGAGGAGAGGCCCCCAACGATTTACACTGCTTTAAAATTATGTGTTAAATTGTTGGGTCGAACTTCCCATCGCTGGGACCAGAGCCTTCAAAAAGAAGACATGATTTCATCTTTGATCATCAAGATTCAAATCAAGGAGACTGAGAAGGAGGAAGAGGAGGAGGGGAAGGAGAAGAAACAGGAGGAGGAGGAGGAACAACCCTCTTAAGCTTAGCTTAAAATTCCACCTAGGAAGGCATGGAGTTGTTGGTATCTATTGTAAAAAATTATCAAAAGCAAGGGCTGCTACAGCGAATGAGGTATACTGAAGACTTTCTCACTGATGCGGCCTTCGAAGAAATGGCTTTCTTTCTTTCTTTCTTTCTTTCTTTCTTTCTTTCTTTCTTTCTTTCTTTCTTTCTTTCTTTCTCCTTCCTTCCTTCCTTCCTTCCTTTCTCCTTTGCAAGCCCTAGTGTTGCACACCACAGTGTTTCGCTTATGTCGGTCAGCATGTACGCATATGTGCGTGCTTGTGTGTGAATACACATACAAAGACATTCGGTGTACTGCATCATACATATAAATACACACACACACACACACGCATGCATGCACACCTACACTCACACACGCGCACACACACACACATATAAATACATATGGAAGAATTTCTCAGCCCCACCTGGAGTCATCGGGAGGTGGTAACCATGAGCGAGGGTGGCGAGCAGACGGATCTTCGTAACAGATTTCCCCCAAAATGTCTTTTGATCTACCGGCTTCAGGATGCAGCTAACATGAGACTTGATTACTTGTGTGCGTGGGGGCGTTTAACATGGGGAGAGACGGGGGGGGGAGGGAGAGGGGAGGGCCGATGGCAAATGTTCCTTGCCTATCACAGAAGGAAGAGGCTAAATCTCTAAAGGTTGGGTGAGGCCCAGCCCCACCCTTGGCAAACGCCCGTTCAACCAAAGTGCATAAATACTTTTGAGACTTTCAATATTGTCAGATCATTTTGAAGAAGGGGGGAGGGGGGTGTACAGTACGGTGGTGCGGAAGGAGTCGGGGGAACTGGTGGGGGGGGGGGGAAGGAAAAAAAAAAGGAAAATAATGCTGTTGTTGAGTGCAGAAAAGAGTTTTTGTTTTTTCTTCCCCCTTCCACACGAGGTCCGATCACAGTGCACACCTGACCACGTCCAGATGCCGAAGAGATGAGTCGCGGTTGTTCGGTTTTGGTTATGGTTATGGAGGGGGGGGGCGGGAAAGACTCTCCGTAAAAAGGAATAATAATTATAATAATAATAATAATAATAAAAGTTTTCTTTTAAAAAAAATCCAAAGTGCATAGTGAGAACAGAGAAACCTCCTCGTTCCGGTAAGACTGCAACGGCGGCCTGACCTCAGCATCTTCCCTCGGATGCGCCAGACGGCGTCCTATTCTCCTTCGTGACCGTAACTCACTCCACCCCTCCCCCAAAAAAAACAAAAAACAAAAAGGATGGAGAGACGGTCGTCAGCCCGGTAAACACACTTTGCCAGCAAACAGAAGTCCCACTATCGTAAAGAAAATAGATAAAACAAACAGTACGTAGGATGAGCCCACCACGGTGTTGTTTGGAAGTTTATAGGGCTGGCCTCCCACTTCGTTGATGTAAAATCCTATGGGGAATATTAAGGCTGCCATACAGAAAAGGATCACTGGAGGAAGGAAGGAAGGAAGGAAGGAAAAAGAAAGAAAGAAAGGAAGGAGAGAAAAAAAGAGAGACAAAAAAAAAAATCAGATTAGTGGAAAAAGTCGTACCGACGGCTAAAACGACAGGTAGTTCTTGACTTAACAACCATATTCATTTTAGTTTGAAGTTGCAAACAGCGGTGGGAAAAGTGACCCAGGGACTTTTTTTTTTTCCACACTTACTGCAACGTTCACACGCTTGGCCACCGACTGTATTTATGACGGGTGCAGCGTCCCAGGGTCCTGAGATCCCCCTTTTTGCGACCTTCTGACCAGATTCACTTAACGGCCATGGGAACGACTTAATGACTGCGGGGATGTGCTTCATAAATGCGGCAAGGAAGGTCGTAAAATGGGGCGCACTGCAACCGTTTTGCTTAGCCACAGAAATTTGGGGGTGAATTACAGTCGTAAGTTGAGGATTCCCTGCACTTGTTTTTAAGACATTTTCTTTTACAGCACAAAGCTGTTTTTCAACGTTAGCAGCACTTACGATGTCAGGACCTCAACTTCCCAGAACTGTCTTGTTTAGCAACGGAAATTCTGGTCCCTGTTGTCGCCGTAAGTGGAGGACTACCCAACTCTAATAAAGGCAAACGAACTTTGCTTTAATGGGATGTCAAACAGCCGCTAGAGGGCGTTTAGAGCTTGCTGTTAGCCTTCAGAGCATAACTCTTGACACCCCAGAGATGCCCAGTTGGGGATTATGGGAGTCCAGCATTTGAAGGGGAACATGGACCTGGAGAAAGCAGAAGTTGAACACTGCAAATGAAGCACTAAGCCAGGGGTCTTCAAACCTGACAGCTTTAAGACTTGTGGACTTCAACTCCCAGAATTCCTCCTCTAGTCATGTTAGCTCAGGGATTCTGGGAGTTGAAGTCCACACGTCTTAAACTTGCCAAGTTTGAAGACCCTTGCTCTTTTCTTTCTTTCTTTCTTTCTTTCTTTCTTTCTTTCTTTCTTTC